ACAGTCTCATTCTCACCCAGGCTGGAGTGCAGTGGTGCGATCTCTGCTCACTGCAACCTTTGCTTCCTGGTTTCAAGCAATTATTGTGCCTCAGCCTCACAAGTAGCTGGGATTACAGGTGTGTGCCACAATGCCCGGCTAATTTTTGTATTTTTTGCCATGTTGGCCAGGCTGATCTCAAACTCCTGGCCTAAAGTGATCTGCCTCCCACCTTGACCTCCCAAAGTGTTGGGACTACAGGCATGAGCCACTATACGCAGTCCATCTTAACCATTCTTAAGTGTACACTTTGGTAGTGTTAAAGATATTAATACTGTTGTGAAACTGAGAATAAATCCCAGTTGGTTATGGTGTACAATCTTCTTAATGTGCTGTTGAATTTGGTTTGTTAGTATTTTGCTGAGGATTTTTGCATCAATGTTATTCAGAATTATTGGTCTGTAGTTTACTTGTAGTATGTTTGTCTGGCTTTGGTATCAGAATAATACTGGCCTCACAGAATGAGTTAGAAAGTGTTTCTGTCTCTTCAATTTTTGAAAGAGCTCCAGGAAAATTTATGTTAATTTTTAAATGTTTGGTAGAATTCAATGAAGCCAACTGGTCCTAAAATTTGCTTTTTTTTTTTGGCGGTTTTTGATTACCTGTTCAATCTCCTTGTTATTGGTGTGTTCATATTTTCTATTTCTTCATGATTCAGTCTCAGTAGACTACAAGGAATTTATCCATTACTTCTAGGTTATCCAATTCATTGGCATACAATTGTTCATGGTAGTCTCTTAGAAATCTTTTTATTTCTCTGCATCTGCTTTAATGTTGTCCCTTTCTTTCCTGATTTTTATCATTTGCATCTTCTCTCTTTTTTTCTTAGTTAACTGAGCTCAAGGTTTGCAAATTTTGTTGATCTTTTCAAAACACCAACCGTTAGTTTTGTTTATTCTTTTTCTATTCTCTATTTTGTTTATCACTGCCTTAGTCTTTATTATTTCATTCCTTTTGCTAGCTTTGGGTTTAATATGTTGTTTTTCTAGTTTCTTGAGGTAAAAGTTATGTACACTTTCTTCTTTTTTAATGTAGGTATTTACAGTTATAAACTTTCATCTTAGCACTGCTTTCAATGTATCCCCTAAGTTTTAATATGTTGCATTTTCATTTGTCCCTAAGTATTTTCTAATTTCCCTTGTGATTTAGTCTTTGACCTACTGGGTGTTTAAGAGTGTGTTAATTTCTACATCTTTGTGGATTTTTCAGTTTTCATTCTGTTGATTTCTAGTATCATTCATTGTGTTTGGCAAATACACTTGGTATGACTTCTTGAATTTGTTAAGATTTGTTTTATGGTCTAACGTGGTCTATCCTGGGGAATGTTTATGTGCACTTAATAAGAATGTACATCCTGCTGTTATTGGGAAGACAGCTCTGTGTATGTCTGTTTGATCCAGTTGATTTACTATGTTGTTCAATTTTCTTATAACCTTCTGTTTCATTGTTTTATTCAGTGCTGAAAATGGAGTACTGAAGTCTCCTACTATTATTGGGTCGCTGTCTTATTTCTCCCTTTAATTTGTCAAAGTTTGCTTCATGTATTTGGGAGCTCTGAGGTTTAGTGCATAAGCATTTATTACTACATATCTTCTTGGTGAATTGACCCTTTTATCATTATCTCACATCTGTCTTTGTCTTTTATAACAGTTTTGATTTCAAGTCTACTTCATCTGATATTAGTATAACCACTCCTACTCTCTTTGGTTACCATTTGCATGGAATATTTTTCTCCATTCTTTCATTTTCAGCCTATGTGTTTCTTTAGATATGAGTCTCCTGTAGACAGCATATAGTTAGATACTGTTTTTTAAATTAATTCGGCCAATCTGTGCCTTTTTATTGAAGAGTTTAATCCATTTAAATTTAAAGTAATTACTCATAGGGAAGGAATTACTATTGCCATTTGTTGTTTTCTGTATGTCTTGTAACTTCCTTCCTTCCTGTCCTCTTTTATTGCCTTTTTCGGTATTTTGTTGATTTTCATAGTGATATACTTTGATTCCCTTCTCATTTTGTTTTGTGCATATTCTATAGATATTTTCTTTGTGGTTACTATTGCAATTACATAGTTTAATCTTAATTTTATAGCATTCTATTTTAAACTGACAACAACTTAACTTCAGTCTCATACAAAAATTCTACTCCCATCCTGGCAACATAATGAGATCTCATCTCTACAAAAAATTTTTAAAAATTAGCTGGGTATGGTGGCATGTGCCTGCAGTCCCAGCTACTTGGGAGGTGAGGTGAGAGGATCACTTGAGCCCGGAAGTTGGAGGCTACAGTGAGCTATGATCCCATCACTGTATTCTAGCCTGGGTGACAGTGAAACTATGCCTTCAAAAAAACCAAAATCTACTAATTTAGGGCTTTAGCACCCCCCCTTTATGTTATTGATATCACAAGTTACATTTTTATATATTGCATACCCATTAACATAATTATACAGTAAAAAATGTTTTTGTAACTTGTTACATTTACCAAAATTACAATAGTACAGGTTACTATCTTTCTCCACATATTTACCTTTACTGAAGAACCTTATATTTTTCATATAGTTTCATGTTGCTGTGTATTATCCTTTTGCTTCAACTTAAAGGAGTTTCTTTAGCATTTCTTGGAGAGCATTTCTAGTGGTAATAAACTCCCTCAATGTTTGTTTATCTGAGAAATCTTAATTTTTCTTTCATTTTTGAAGGGCAGTTTTGACACATATAGTATTATTGGTTGAGAGCTTTTTTCTTTTAGCACTTTGAATATATATCTCACTCCCTCTAGTTTGCAAAGGTTTTCCTGAGAAATCACTGGTAATCATATAGAAGCTCCCTTGTATGTACAAATAACTTTTTCTCTTGCTGCTTTCAAGATTCTGTCATTGTCTTTGACTTTAGACAGTTTGATAATAATGTGTCTGCTGTGTTTCTTTTTGGATTCATCCTAGTGGAGTTCTTTGAATTTTTTGAACCTGTATGTTTTTTTCTTTCCTTAGATTTGGGAAGTTTTTAGCGACTGTTTCTTCAGAGAATTTCTCTACCCCTTTCTCTCTTTTTTTCTTCTTCTGGGAGTGCCATAATGCATATATTGGTCAACTTAATAGCATCCTATAGGTCCCTTAGGTTCTTTTTGCTTTTTAAATTTTTAGCTTTTTTTTTTTTTGCTTTTCTGACTTGATAATTTCAAATGATCTGTCTTCAAGTTTGTTGATTCTTTGTTCTGTCTGATTAAGTCTGCTGTTGAACTCCTGTAATAATTTTTCAGTTCAGTTTTTGCATTTTTCACCTTCAGAATTTGTTTCATTCTTTTTTATAGTTTTTATGTCTTTGCTGATATTCTCATTTTGTTCATGCATCATTTAACTGACTTTATTTAGTTCTCTGTTATTTAGTTATTTATTTTAGCTCACTGAGCAACTTTATGACAGTTATTTTAAATTCCTTGTCAGGCAGCTCATAGATCTGCATTTCTGTGGGACTGGTTTCTGGAGCTTCATTTTGTTCCTTTGATTGGACCATTTCCCCTTGTTTCTTTGTTTGCCTTAATATCTTTTTTTCCGGGGTTGGCATCTGAAAAAACAACCACCTTTCCCAGTCTTTGGTACTGGCTTTGTGCAGGGGAAAACCCTCACCAACCAGCCTAGTTGGAGGTTCTAAGACCTTTTTAACCTTTTCTAATCCCTTGCTCCCCCTAATTTCTCCCTGTGAAACTGTAGGTCTAATGTGCTGCTTGCATCTGGATTTTAGTGGCTTCCAAACTCCAGTGCCAGTCTTGCCAATATTCTGAGTCAGGCAAGACAAAAACCAGTCCCTTGGGAGGCCCCTAGACAAGCCAGAACACTGGATGCACTGTCTACTCTTTTGTTTCTATCTGAGGGAAGAGCTCTGATATGGGGTATTTCCTGTCAGTTGTTCCACATTATACCACAAAGAGGGAGGGGCATGAATAGGCATGCGTCAAATGATGCAAAATTTCCTACCCCTTTCACTGGAGTCTCTTCTTGGTTTTACAATAGCCTGGATGCTGTAGCTTCTCAACTGATCTCTAGAGTTCTCGCAGAGGTATTCTGATCTGTATATTGTTGTTACCTTGGTATCTCTGTGAAGGAAGGGAGCCTATAGCATCCTACTCTGCCATTTTGCAGACTTAAAATTTACAAATTACAGCATAACAACGTGAATGTATTTAATATCACTTAAAAATTGAGATGATAAATTCTATGTTATATGTATTTGACCACAGCTTAGATAATAAACATAATAAAAATACAACATAGAAACATTTAAAAGATTCAATAATTAAATAATTGTGTCTAACCTTTTTGGATAAACATGACTTTTGCGTTTCAAATTTTCAACCAAGTTTTCATAAGAAAATGAAGGCAACTGTAATTAGGGGTGGGGGAAGTTTTAACTCCTGAAGGTATCCAATCAGTGTTTATGTTTGGGTGTGCTCCTGTTGACTACCATTAGATATTCTGCTTTGTAGATTAGGATTATAATAATCATAGCAATTATCATTTATGTATTCATTCATTCATTAAAAAATTATTGAGTAACAGTGGAGGTGCTTGACCTCAAGCTACTTTTACTTTAATCAATTATAGAGGCATTGACTTGGAGCACCTTAGTGGAAGGAAACACACTTTTAATGGACTTTTACGGAATCCAGAATAATAACTTTTACTTACTAGTAAGTCTAGACTGGGATAATGCACTTTTAATATTTATCAATATGCCAGAATATAAAAAGATGTTCCATTCTTCTTCTGGTAGGAATCCAATGTCATCCTGTATTAGATTTCCATTAGCATTATTTTGCATGATTGCAGTACAAAGCCGAAAAGAGAAGCAAAGTTTATCTTCATTAAATAGAGCTGAAGAAACCACCTATAGGGAGAATATAACATATTAATCCAGTGAGATTAAATAAACAAGTAAAATCCACACTAAAGAATGTCTCACCTTAAAAATACTTTTTGTCAACACATCCATTGCACTTTTAATATGCTTATCTAACAGATTTTTCTCATTTTCCAAGTTGGGTTCTTTTGAAATATTTATAATCTCATGAACTTCTTTTGGAGACACTTTCTCCCTTTTAAAACTATGTTCTTGTTCTTTGCTTTTGGAAACTACTGACAAAACAAAAACCTGATGAAACCAGTCTAGGGAGAACTGGTACATGTAGTTGATTTGCGTGAGACCAGCTACTAGAAAGTAGAGCAGGGCACCTCGGGTTGCAATGGGGAGATAGTTTTTACGTATTGCTTGGATTTCACTTTCAGCTTTTTTTGTTGCTTCAATGCGCTTTGAAATTTCATTTGATGTCATTTTGGATTTTCTTAAGGTATCTATAATTTCTTCATCATCTAACGCGTATCCTAAAGATAAACAAAAAGTGAAGTTAAATAAAGACTACTGTAACAGTAAATGGCTATTTCCTCACTCTGCACTCTTTGTGTAAGGGTTTTTACTGTTGGCTTCTTACTGGCTTTATGTCC